TTGACTTCTCACCCTACAATAGAGGGATACCAAATTTCCTTCACTTTCTATTATTAATTCAGTCAGTTCCATATTTTGAGCTGTCATTTGTATTACCTGATTTCTGGCTTAAATTTTTATATTTGTCAGGCTTCTTTTGCATGCCAGTAATAGAAACCCAATTAAAAAATCAGTCCTTCCCGTTTAAGTGGCAACTACATTCTTGTTTTTGCTCAGACCTCGAACTTTGACCTTGTCCTCCACTCTTTTTCTTTCATTTCTCCCACACAGTCTTTCAGTATATTCTGTTGGCTTCAAAATGTATCTGAAATCTGGCCAGTTCTCATCACCTCTACTTGGGTCACTCTGGTTCAACACCATCCTCTTTCTCTTTCTAAGCCCTAACAAGTCTCCCTGCTACTACTGTTGCCCTCAGAATATTAGTGTCATCCTTTTGAAAAGTAAGAGATCACATCACTTCTTTCTCAGAATCTTTCAGTGGCTTCCCATCTAACTCAGAGTACAAGTTCAAGACCTTAAAATGAGCTAGTTTTGTGGTCCTGCTCTCCCTCCCTCATGCAGGATCTTTCTCCAAACTCAGATTTTACTATTGTCTCCACCACTCACTCCACGCAGGCCTCCTTGCTCTTCCTTAAATAGATATTTTGCACTTACTTTTCCTCTGGCCTGGAATACCTTTCTCCAGATATCCATTCAACTCACTTCCTTATATCCTTTAGGTCCTTGCTCACATATCACTTCATCTGTAAGATCTTTGATCACCTAACAAAAACTTGAAGTCTCCTCCCTCCCCCATACTTATTTCCTTTTCCTACTTTTTCTTTCTTTATAGCCCTTACCATCACTTAGCACTGTGGATTTTACTTATTTATTTTGTAGTTTGTTTCCAGTCTCTAGAATATAATCTCCATAAGGGCAGAAATTTTTCTCTTTTGTTGTATAGGAAAATGCGTGGCACATAGTTCAGTAGTCTCTCAGCAAATATTTGTTGAATGAATTAATAAATAAGAAAAAATAATTATTGGCTCACGTAACTGTTAAGTCTGAAACACTGACAGGATTGAGAATAAATACCCTGTAGAGGGAGAGAGATTACTCATTAAGCAAATCTTCTCCAGAGGAGAGGGGGGAAGTGTCTTTAGGTTTACCTTACAATATAAGTAAATGTAAGTGAAAAATATAAAACAACATAAGAAATGTAAGTTAAAAGAAAAATCTTCCAGTGAAGGGAAGGAGAGGGCTTTATTTCTCCAAAGCTCATTGGAGGCTTCTGTATTTAGGGAGACACTATCTCTAGCTTCCAAGTCTGTCTGTTGTGAAAATGTCCTTGTAGTACGTTTTGCGCAGAAGGCTTTGACTATGTAGGAATGTGAGAAATCCAGAGAGAATTGTCCTATAGCAATTCTAAATTCCAGCAGCTACATCTGTTCACACCTGAATTCAGGTGTGATTAGATCTAGGGACAAAATGTTTTCAGAGTTTTCTTCATGTCTCTTTTCATCTCTTGGCTATTCTTTTCTCTGGCTTGGCTCATTGTCAAGTAGGTACTTGTCATGTTCTTTCAGTTTAGCAACCTCAGCTGAAAGAGAACTTTCCTTTCTAATTAGTTCCTGCAAAAATTTTGGAAATGAGTCTTATTGGTCCAATGGGTCACACATACCCATTCCTGAACTTCTGCTTGGGGGAGAGAATATGCTGATTTTCCAGACTTGGGTCATTCACCTATTCTGGGAACTTCATGCTTATTCCAGGAACTTGAGAGTGGGAATGACTAGTGCCACCTAAACTACATGGATTGAGAATAAGAGGAGAGTAGTTCAACAGAAGAAAATTGAGATGCTGCTACTGAAAGAAGGAGAGTAAAAAACAACACAGGTCTATTGCTTACATACACATGCAGCTCATGCATTGCATTTGATCAACTTCTCCCAAGTACCCAAAGCCCAAATCCTAGTCTTTGAATCAATCCATTGCCTGGTCTGTAAATAACTTTGCCCATCACTCTAACCCAGTGGTTCTCCAACAGGGGGCAATTTTTGCCTCAGGGAACATTTGGCAATGTCTTTATACTATGGGTAAATTTAAAAAATGTCTGGAGACATTAAAAAAAACCCAACTTAGAATCTTACTATATATAGGCATTCCTGCCTCATCTATTTTTTACCTAACATCACATCATGAACAAGAAATTTTCTTTGAAAACATGATTTTAAATGGATGTAAAATTATATTTAAAATCATTGCTTAATTTTGGATATTTGGTTTATCAGGATAAGGATATTATTTATTAGAGAAGTAGGAGGAGCAGAGGTGATAAAGAGAAGTAGGGCCAGGACAAGGGTGAGGCAAGAGAGATGCCTAGGACACAAAATTTAAGACAGTACTCATTTTTAGGGTCATACAGCTGCAGGGTGGCGCTTGCCTGACCCCAAAAGTGAACGTCCTGTAAATTTTGGGCCCTAAGCACCTCTCTCACCTCACCCTAGTCCTAGTCTTGAAGAGAAGCACATTTAGGGAATAGGAATTGTGTTTGTCTGAGTGCGAGTTAGAGATGGTAGCATGTGTAGTTGGAGAAGTTGGCGGGGAGGATTAAGGTACTCTAGAAGGTACTTCTTATACATTGTCACCTTGTCTGTAGAAACCTTTACTGAGTTCTGGTAAGGGTCATAATATCTTTGAAGTAACACAAGGAATATAATTTTTATTCATAGGTTTATGGTAGTTTGAACAAAGAAATGTTCCATTTAGAAATGCTACCAAGGAAGTTGTTACTTATTTTTATTTTTATTTTTTTTAAGATTTTTTTATTTTTTCCTTTTCTCCCCAAAGCCCCCCGGTACATAGTTGTGTATTCTTCGTTGTGGGTTCTTCTAGTTGTGGCACGTGGGACGCCGCCTCAGCGTGGTCCGACGAGCAGCGCCATGTCCGCGCCCAGGACTCGAACCAACGAAACACTGGGCCGCCTGCTGCGGAGCGCGCGAACTTAACCACTCGGCCACGGGGCCAGCCCCAGTTGTTACTTATTTTTAGCCCAAATTATTTCAGTATCAAGTGGAAACATACTGGTTTTTCTGACTGAAAAATAAAAACTATAGAATAGACGAGTTGGAGAGTGATACATAAATAACACATGGGTGCTTTGACTAGCTTCCTTGAGCAAGACACTTGACATTGCTCAATGTTGGGCATGGAATCCCAGTTGAATAGTTGTTTTTCTTGTACTTAGGTCTTTGAAAGTGACTTTCTATATCACAGTGAGAGACCAGATTGTAGATAACTCTCACTCTTTTTGCTGATAGAGAGAGGCTAAAAAAATTTCAAATTAAATGAATTGTCCTGTAATTTTGGGATCTGTCTTTGTAGTGGGATTAGGTGGCATATATAATGTGTACATTTAGATATGTACTCACTACATTTTGTTCCTCGAAAATCTTTTTAAGTAATGCTATTTACTGTGCTAAGTCTTGGTGTTTTAATTGAAGATACTCTATGGAAAGCAGTATAAAAGAGAAGTGATGATTAAAATTTTCATATTTAATTATCATCTTAAGTCATAAATTTTATCATTTAATGTAATGACTCTTGTCAAAGCCTTTCTTTACACCAAAGTGTACAAATCAGAGAAAGCTGTAATTCACCTTAGAATTTCATGCATTCAGCAATCACTTGTTTGATGGCTATGATGTTCCAGGTATTGTGTAGGATGCTGGCTATGTTAAGATAATAATACCAGTCCTCAGTCATGTCGCAGTTTAGTGGAAGAAGAGGGATGTAACAGTACTTTCACTATATGTAGATTAGATTTCCAGCTCATTCTAGCATTGAGAACCTTGCCAAATGTAAAAGAGAATAAAATGCTGGTCTGGGGGCAAAAAAGGAACCCTTTGCCCCCAAGCTTAGAAGAGTGGCAGACTGAGAAGGTATTCCTGACCCACTGTGTTTGGTCAGTTTCCTGGCCAGAAGGAAAGGAGTAATCTTATTGGTAACATCTATGAAATGTCCTCTGATTCATGTGAAAGTCAAGGAAGTAGGGGGAAATGACAGGAAACAGAAGAGGCAAACAAAAACAAGGAGCTAGAAAGAAGGAAGAGCTGATTATAAACCCAGAATTTGGAATTGGAAATGTGAGGGCGTGAGGCAAAAAATGAGAAACCATGACAGGGCTGTAAACTGCATGTGTTGACAACAGTGATGAAGAAAAGAGCCAGTGGCCAAGAAACATCTTAGAAATTCTCTTAGTTTCAAGGATTGAGAGGATGGCCGATGCAAGAGTCATGCTTTGGCATTTTAAAGCATGTTAGATAAAGTGTGTGTTTGCCGGGAGAATCCTTCCAAAAGCTTCCCAGCCTTTGAACAAGTCGTTCTTACATAATTACTTCTGTAGGCTGTAATATTTTACAAGTGTAGTCACTTGCTGCTTCTGATGTGCTTCAAGCTTGAAGTAGTTTTATGCTGTGAAAAAGGAGAAAAGCATTAATTACCTCTTCAAAACTGAGGGAATAGGTTACGGGAGAAGGTGAAATACTTTACTCATTGTGAAAGTCGTGGAAAGAAAGGGGAGAGAGTAAGCAGGGGATAAACACGTTGGGTAAGTATAGCATTTGTATTCTTTTTTTTTTTTGTTGAGGAAGACTGGCTCTGAGCTAGCATCTGTTGCCAATCTTCCTCTTTTTTTGCTTGAGGAAGATTGTTGCTGAGCTAACATCTGTGGCAGTCTTCCTCTATTTTTTGTACATGGGATGCCACTACAACATGACTTGATGAGTGGTGCATAGGTCTGCACCTGGGATCCAAAACCACGAACCCTGGGCCTCCGAAGCAGAGTGTGCAAACTTAACCACGATGCCCCTGGGCTGGCCCCAGCGTTCATATTCTTAACGTGGTGAACGTGATGAACTGCCACATTTGACTTCCAGTAGTAGCCTACTATCCTCCATGTGTCCATTTTTTCCTTTTTCTCTGTAGTGAACAGTTCTGACTCCTTGAATTTCTTCTTGCAGCTCATGTTTTCTGGCTAGACCTATGATCATTCCCGTGAGACTTCACTGCACGTTTTCTCAAGTGTCTTCCTCATCTCTAATGTGTAATCCTTCAACATGGACCTGCTACTTTAGCTAAGATATGACCATCAATGAATAGTAGTAAGGTAGGATTAATTTACTCTTCTTAGTAAATTACTTAAAAAAAAATATATTTTTTTCCTCTGAAACTGAAATAGTTTTAACTTGTCTTGATTTTGGTGTTTATGTTAGGTTATTCTCCTGCCTAGGCAGGCTCCAATCATTTTATATTTGTGTTATTTATTTTTTGCTTGTCATTTATCCTACTGAATTCTGTCTTATTTCTGATGTAATTATTATTTTTTTCAACTAACACTTACAATCAGCAGAATTCCTATCCATATCTCTTTTCCAACCTGTGTGTCCACTGGTCCTATATTTTCAAGTGCCTGGCACCAAACTGAGTATATCTTATTTTTCATCTCAAGTGCTTGCTTCTCCTGGTTTCTGTATTTCTGTTAATAGCATTATTAGTCCATTGTCTAATATAGTCATATATTCATTTACTATTTTATTCATTTACTTGATGCACATTGATAGGCTTCTGTTAAGTATTAGGCAGTTTGCTGCTTCTGAGGATATAATAATGAATAAGGGATATCCCATCCTTATAGCTTATGTTTTTGAGGGGAGGGACAGCTTTTAAAAGAACCAGACAAAATAATTATGAATTGTAATAATTTTGTGTGTGTGTGTGTGTGAGGAAGATTCGCCCTGAACTAACACTTGTTGACAATCTTCCTCTTTTTGCTTGAGAAAAATTGTCACTGAGCTAACATCTGTGCCAGTCTTCCTCTGTTTTGTGTGGGATGCTGCCACAGCGTGGCTTGATGAAGTGGTGCCAGGTCTGTGCCCTGGATCTGAACCTGCGAATCCAGGGCTGCTGAAGCGGAGCACGTGCACCCAACGACTACATCACTAGGCCGGCCCCTGTAATAAATTTTTTGAAGGAAAGCAAAAAAGCAGATAATTTGGAGATAAGGAGTTGGGAGCTACTTTAGATAGGTGATCACAAAGGGCTCCTCTAAGGAGTTGATATTTAAGATGAAGCCTGTGTATGAGAAGGAGCTATTTCAAGAGTGGGTGGTGTGGGTGTGTGTAGTGTTTTTGGTGGGGAAAGCATTTTCATTAGAAGGTATAGTGGTATGAAATAAGTCAGGCAGAGAAGACAAATACTGTATGGTCTCACTTAAATGTGGAATCTTAAAAAAGCTGACCTCATAGAAATAGTAGGACGGTGGTTGCCAGGGGCTGGGGAGTGGGGGAAATGGGAGATGTTGGTCAAAGGTACAAACTTCAGCTATAAGAGGAATAAGTTCTGGGGATCTAACGCACAGCATGGTGACTATAATTAATAATACTGTATTATATACTTGAAAGTTGTTAAGGCAGTAGATCTTAAATCTGGCACACACACACACACACACACACACACGCACACACACACACAATAGTAATTATGTGAAGGAATGGAGAGGTTAACTAGCCTTATTGTGGTAATCATTTTGCAATATATACATGTATCTAATTATCACATTGTACACCTTAAACTTACATATGTTATATATCAATAGCATATCAATAAAGCTGGCAGGAAAAAAAAGGAATAGTGGGTACAAAGATTGAAGGAGGAAAGAGCTTGGTGAGTTTGAGGAACAAAAGCCTCAGTGTGGCTGACTTAGTGAGAGAGAGAGGCAGAGATGGGTAGGAACAGGTTATAGAAATGTGCAGGGCTTTGAAGAGTTTGGCAAGAAGTTTGTATTTTAGTCTAAATGATATCATCATTTTAGCTGTTGTGTGAGGAATGGACTGGCTGAGGTGCAAGTGAGAGCTGGCAGTTTTAGGAGCTGAGGTGAGAGAGAGTGGCGGCCTGACAAGGTGCTAGCAAGAAGAGAGAGAGGGATGGATTTAAGATACTTTTTTTTTGATTTGTGGGACTTGTGGATAGTTTGGATGAGGAAAGAGAGAACATACTCAAGGATGACTTCAGGATTTTTGGGTTTTGAGCAGCTGGGTGGATGCTGGCATCATGTGCAGAAACTTTTTAGACAACTCTCTTTCTCATTATGTCAAGTATTGGTTATTTCACCAATAGGGAAATTAATTATAATGCTAGAAGTAATGTTAGTGCTGGAAATAAAAACATCTGGCAAATTTGTGATAGGTACTAGTTAATATTTTTTTGCTTTTCTCCCTGAAATTTAGCTATATGCTTTTAATTAATTATGAATTTAATTTTATTTAACTTCAGGATCTTTCTGGAAGTGAAAATAACTGACTATACTTTTATACTGGATTTTAAGGCTTATCCCCTATTCTCTCTTTTTAAAAGAGATGAGTCTTAAAATTTTAAACCCGTCTGAAATCTTCCCAGACTGTTACCCAAAGTTCTGATATATGATATTTTTTTGCAGATTCAGGAGCATCCTAAGCTCACTTAAAGCATTCAGCTGTCAGACTTTTAGGAGGTTCATTTATCTTTTTGTTTTTGTGGCTTCATCAGAGCATATTTATGTTCAGCCTCTTCAAATTGATATTTTAGGTGCAAACTGAAATTGAATAGATATTAAAATAAATCTTTCCAGTTCTGTTACTTATTTCTTCTAAGTTAATTGGTAGTCCTGTCTTTCTTTTGTTTTTTCGCTGAAGAATTTCTAAGATGTTTTCTCAAAAGAGAGGAGTTAATATTTATTGTTTGTGCTCTATGTGACAGGCCTTTGGCTAGCTGTTTTAAACACTTCATTTAATTTTATCCTTACAACAGTCCGATGAGTTTTTCCACTTTGCATATTGTTCTCTTTTGAGTTTTAGAACTGATTAGAAGTAGTAGAATAATGGGATTTATAGCTGGAAAGAACCTTACAGATCATCCACTTCCTCCTCCTTCCGCTGAGGCCCGGAGAGCTTCTGTGACCTGTGCAAGATCACACAGCTGGTTTTCTTTTAGTAAGCTGGCCTCCTCCCGTGCTTTCTATCTTTCCACTCCTTCAACATTTCATTTTGAAAATGTTGAGTGCTACAGAAAAATAGAAAATACAGGGCAATGAAAACCCATACTATCTTTCATCTGTATTCACTCACTGTTAACATTTTGCTACATTTTCTCTCTCTTTATATATTTATATATTTTTAAAACCATTTGAAACTATATTAAAGAGATCATGATAATATGAATGTTTTTGCATGCATATCCTAAGAGCATGGATAGTTTCCTTGATGATCATAATATCAATATCACATATAAGAAAATTAATGGCAATTTAAGAGTATGTTTAATATAATGGTCCATATTCACATCTCCCCAATTGTCCCTAAATGTTTTTTTTTTGAGTTTTTTGGACCCAAGATTCATGCATTGCATTTGATTCTTATGTCTCTTTATTCTCTTTTAATCTTGAACAGTCCCTCTTTTTGTTTTTCATGATCTATATTTTCTTTTAAGAGAGATAGGTTGTATATACTTAATGTCTCTCTTGAGAATTTCCTGGTTTCTTAGAATATTATTCATTCAAAACTTATTTGCAATTCTCTGAGGTTGCTGGAGATAAAGTTGTTTATTCCAAGCTTTTTAAGAAAAACATCATTCCAACTGTAGGTATACATTGGCTGAGGTTTTTACATTTAGTTGCATTAAGTTAAAGTTAAGAAAACTGGGAGGTTTACGTTGCGTTTGATCCACTGGCACTAGTCAGCCATTGAAGTTCATTTAAAACAACAGAAGTCTGCAGGAGTTCCTCCTCCACCCACCGTTACCCATCCCTACCTTCTAACCAGTTGGTTATACCTAGGAATATATATCTAGACTCTGGACATTATAAAGCAGTAGCAGTCTAAGCCTTCATCTTTGAAAAATGCTCAGTTTCAAGTGGGAAGTAGATAAATGCAAATGATAAATAAACAAGTTACTAGAGACCACCAGAGCTAGGCACAATGAGAAAAGATTTAAGTACCTGCTCTCTCTGGTACTTATGTAGAGCTGGCATTCTGTGAGTGTTCTCTTTCTTCCTGCTTTGCATGCTTTTGAGTTTCACAGATTTGGTGGGTTTTCTTTAAGAATTATATGGCATTTAGGAACAACTGGAATTTGAGGGGAGGGAATAGGAGGTAACTTTTAAGCAGTATTTTCAAAGAGAGGAGAATCATATTTTGGTTGAGTGGAAAGGAAAAAAGTGTTAATGAGGAAGGGACTACTCTAAGTGGGTTAGTGAGGTCTGTGAAGCCTTTTCCTTCCTTTTGCTCCAGCCTGCATTAGATTATACTTTTCTTGTGCTCTTACTACTCTTTGCGCAGGGATTCCTTATAGCAATTATTGTTACATCTTAGTACTGCTTCTCCTCTAATAAGCTCCCTGAGGCTGTGACCAGTACTTTTTATCTCTGTATACATAGGACTTCACTCAGTCCCTGGCATATTGTAGACAGTTAATAAGTACTTATTAGATGAATGAATGAATGAATGAATGAATGAAAGGCTTTAGTAAGACATAGAGCAGAAAGACAAAGATTCCTTTGCTGTGCAACCACAGTAATGGTAAGACCTGTGACTCGACCAATTCATTATTGAGGTGCTCAGTTAGAGCTAGAATTGGTTCAGGAGCCCAGGATATAGAACAGGGATGAAATTGTTCGGTGGAAACCAGAAGCATTCTGTGAGTGGGAATACAATTGGAAGATTTTTCAGAGAAGTAATGATCATGATATAAGTACCTTTGTCATTTTCTAAATAAAAATAAATCAAATATATAAGGAGAAATAATTTTTAATGCATTCCATCTGTGAAATTTGATTTTTACCTTCATAACCCTCAGCCTTAAAAAAAAACTTGTGGGGAATCTTTTTTTAATATATTTTTTAAATTACAGAACAAATACCTGCTTTTTATAAAAATGTAAACTAGAGATACATAAAATGGAAAGTGACATTCTTCCTACTATTCCAAGTCTCACTTTCAGGAGATAGCTAATGTTAAAAGTTTGATATATATCAATTTGGACTTTTACAATATATTCAAAAACACATTGCTTATGTTTTTATAGTTTGTAAAATAGGACCATTTGATGTACATGTTCTGAAATATGCTTTTCCTG